GTGTGTGAGAAATTTCCGGAAATGCCTTTCGAGCAATTCCCTTCTAATTCCCGAGTGTCTTTCGGCTTCCTTGTTTAGGAACTTCTTGAACTCAGTTCGAAAATTATATCATGTCTCTACAGCGGTCGTGTTGTCGTGTTTATAAACAAGACGAGTGTACGGCTGATTTATAGACTAACCATAACTCTATCCCCCTGTTTTGTGTCTGCGCTGGTGGAAATCGATATGAAATAACGATTTTATTGTGTTACCCGTCTTTCGGTGTATCAAAACTAAACAGTTTTGTTTACGCACAGCCGCAAGTTTGTGTCTTGCTGTTCCGTTCTTTATCTGCACAAGATTCTTGGTGCGTTCGTTCGTAGAGCACATGAACACGGGTTTACATGCGTCATCCTGTCGCCTGAAATACTAAATTCTAAAAACTAAGATCGCAAATATCAATGGCATAACTCTAAAGTGACATAACCTTCGCGCAGAACTTCACACGCAAAGATCATGATATTTGAGACTAAGTCTTACGATGCTGTAACAAGTTGCGAGGTTTCTGACAACGACGGATCGCTGGAGTTATTTTGGTGCATGAAATGGCGATTATTATTGTTGCGCATTGTGGTGCGAAACTAAATAATTAATTTATATAGCAAATAATATCATGCTAACATTACGTGCATTTTTCCGTTTACTTCAAAAATTATTCACAAATAATAATCATACCAACATTACGTGCGTTTTTTCGGTTACTTAAAAAACCGATTCACGTCTAGACGCTCTTCTCTTGTTGGCGGTGAAAGTTCTACGGCGGACATATTTTTTACTCTACCGCGCGAATGCGTTTGAAATGATTTCGTTCGAGCTGTATGCAGTTAAGTGGTATGCGCTAATTGATCGACCAGTCGCTCGGCTAGCGATGGCGTCTTTTGATTTGCGTTGGCCCCGGGGGAAATTCTAACCTGTTAGTTCGCAAATGTTTAAATTTATGAAATTAATAAAATTGACAAATGCCGCCGCGCTCACTTTTCGCCTGCGCAACTCTGTGTATCGCGTTTGATCGTGAGCGCTTCGAGATTAATTAGATTAGTGTATTGCATCGCATGCGTTTAATGCTTCGTACGTAAGTAAGTAAGCCAGGCTGCTGTGTCGAGTCGACCCTTAGAAATTCTTTGTAGAAATTTCGCTTAAGGCAGCAGCCAGGTTGTCACGCTTCTCACTGAGTTTATCGCAGTGTTGCAGCTGGCAGGCGCTCGCTCTCGTGTGTGTGTGTGTGTGTGTGTGTGATGTGTGTGTGTGTTGTGTGTGTGTGTGTGCGATGGGCGTGCGTGCGTGCGTGCGTGCGTGGCGTGCGTGCGTGTGTGACGCCAGCGACAGCTCGGAAGCCAGGCGCGTACAATGCTGCATGCAACTTGGAATCTTAAACACGTGCAATGTTGCATGCGCAAGCTATGAATCCAGGCACGTAGATTGCTGGCGTGTAAAATTTGGAATCCAGGCACGTGAAATGTTGCATGCAACTTGAATCCAGGCCACGTGCAGATGGTTGCATGCAACTGGAATCCAGGCAGCGTGCAATGTTGGCATGCAACT